TCAAACATGGTATAAATAGCGCTACTATGCGTGTTGCACGATCGGGTTAATGCCCAAGTGATTCATGTGAATTTTTTTTTATTGGTATGTCAAAAATATGAATTCCTATGGTGAAGATACCTATTAATAAAACATCGTATCACGAGCAGTATGAACGTCACCATGGCCATTATCCTAACGAACCAGTTGTTGGCGGTCTAACGATACAATAGCAGTAAGATTAAAAAATAAGCAAAATGGTGATTATATAGAGCATCACAAGATTACCATGAAATTGGAACTATACAAAGTCGATAGCTCGTGGGTTAATTTCATGGTACAAGTGATGTTACGACATTTCTTGAGAATTTGGACCAAATCAAACAAATTACGACATTTATTCACAATAGTGGGATCACTTGATTTTGATCTTTTGTACTAAACCAAATCAAACAATTCAAATTAATTCGACAACACAGAGAACCGCATCACAGTCACTTTTATAAAAAAACTAGTTTTTACACGCGCGTTGCGCGATTTGAACAAGTGCCCAATGTGTACTTTTTTAAAAAAATTATGCATTTTGTATATTGATTGTTTGATTGGCATTTGAAATTTCATCATCATAGACGAGGGGCAAAAACAAAATAAAAAAGACATGGAACCTACTCAACCTAGAGGAGGGCTGGTCATTATTTTCTAATTCCATTAGAATAAAACAATAAATATGTAAAATATCTAGTACACCTCTAAGTATTGATAATTCTTATTCATCTAATTTGCTACTCCGTATTTGTTAAGTATTACATATTACTTTTTCTTCTAAAAAAAGTATTACTCCGTCTTACTTTTCATTTGTGGTTCTATTCCACAAATCTAGTAATTTACCATCAAATTTGTGGATTAAGAATCAATCAAGATTTCAAGACCATGTATACATTTTAAGTCTTGAGGAATGAACATTCAACTATACTTTAATTACACCAAGCATCATGCAAGTCTTCCAACTTTCAATCTGCAAACAAAAGCTACCCATCAAATAATATGAGCTCATATATCAATATATACTTATCTCTTGAGTTGAACATGAGTTATTATATACAACGCCTATCAATAAGCAAACAATTAGCAAATAATGGCAAAGCATCTTCTGTAAATCAAATACTCCGTATAAAAGTAGTATTTCACTTCCAAATACAGTATTAACAATAGTTTGAGCTGAAATAATAATCAAATCCATCAAAGGTGAATATGAGTTTCAGTCTGCCTAATCAATTCAGCAGCATCTACTAAGAACTAAGAAGCCTCAATTTTTTTTTTCAACAACTGCATCAATTCATTCAATGAAACCAAATCTTTAGCCTTTATCCCATAAACTTTAAATACTCTAGCTAAAAGAATGGTTCAAAAGAATATGTACCACACAACCAACAATAAACTGGTACACACTTTACATATAAGCAACAAAAATATAATCAGGACATGTTCTGGTTTCTATTATTGCTCTGGATGGTCATGCACATCGAACACAAAATTTTTGTTAGATTAGAAAATACATAATGGAATGGATTGTATACATTAAAGTATCTAGAATTTCTTGAAGCCTGTTTATGTCATTTTTTGTTGACTCTTTAACTTTAAACCAACTTATAATCTTTGTCTGTATAAATCTATCATTCTAGATAATTGATGCCCGATGATCTTGATAGATGCAGCCACAAGAAGCCCCCCCCTCCTAAGCATAGGCAGGTCACTGTTCCTCTTGGCAGTTTACTCCCTTATCCCCATCCCAACACATTATTAAAACACTACCTGCATCGCGCCATCGCCAAAGTCAGAAAGTACAATAGTCCCAAATATACACTTTAAAAGGATACATGTATTGCCAGAGGAAGAAAGCATGATACATAATGGAGAGCATTAAAAAATTAAGAATGTCATGGAAACTTACTTTTGAGGAGGGATGGGGGTAAAGACTTGCTCTGAAATTCTTAATTTGTTATAGCCAACCTCAGTAAATCTGAAACCTTATATTTCTATTATCAAAGTAATGATTTATATGTTCTCTTAATAGTTTACGTATGTTATATAATTGTGATGTGTAGGCATGTCTCATTATGAAATCATGAATAGAACTATGAAAGTGATATTTACTTAACCAGTTAACCTGAATTGTAAAGAACACTTTTTTGGATAATTACAGCTAAAAAATAGCTTGGCAAAATGGGCACAAAGTCCTACCTTGCCGTCCACACAATATATGAAGTCTCATGACTTTTATTGGTTTCTGCATCAATTGCTTCTTTTAATTTCTTCCTAGAAACATCACTCTTTCTCTGAAGGCTAGCATATAGTGGTATCTCAGTGGCCAGAAGTTCTAATATTGATTCTACAGAATGAAGAGCATTCTCACCGAGCTCTTACACTGTAGTATAAAGTGATTTCCCTGGCTATAGAGTACAAATGAATTGGTAATCCATAACAAAAATCCTAATAGCATGATGGGAACAATAGCAGATAGCTAGCAATAATCAATATGAAACTACCCACTTATCAATGCAGGACTGCATGTTATATGTGTACAATTTTGAGGAAAGAGTTACTTTTCTTATTTGGTTAGTGTCTAGGTAAACTTAATTAAGCTTTTCCCTAAGAATGTGAGTGTAGTTACTATGTACATGGGCGGAGCTCGAGGGGGGCCATCCTAGGTCCTAACCCACCCCCAAATTTAAAAAATGCCTTAATTTTATGGTAAAAAAAATTCGTCTAAATTTTTTTCTAAAAATATTCATTGTATTGACCCAGTCCGGCTTAGTGTCCTGGCTCCGCCCCTGACTACGTATAGGTCTCATTTTTTCCCCATAATCTTTATTTCACTCATATACTACGTATTTGTTACTATTTAAACTTAATTTGGAAATAGACTTAAAATTAAGTGAATTTTTAAATAAATAATTGTCTTATAAGTTCTAGCTCGTGTAACATAATTTGTTCACAGATTCAACTTCTATTTGGGAAAAAATCCAGATTCAATTACATGGCTTGCTAATTAACAATCTTAAAATAATAGTGTTCTTATTTCTAATTAAAGTATCTTAGTATATTGCTACTCCTTGATCTTATACATCCATTATACAAAATGTATAAAACATTCAAAAAACTCATCTAGGCATGTATACAAACACTTAGTATGCTTCAAAGAATTGGAATTTTTCTACCATGTTTAGTTCAACTTCATATGGGTATCAGGGTATGCATGAAAATCAAACAAGAAAAGTTAGTGGGGATTATTCACAAATGGAAGTAGCATATTTTTAAAAACTCCCTTAAATTAAAGCATAGTCTCGATTCTACTACAGCCTAGTTCATGATTATCAACCTTAATCACAATAGTAGGTAAAATAATATAGAATAATATAGAAGCTAGAAATAAAAGCCCAAGATAATAGAGGATATATTCAAAAACAGGCAATTTGCGATCCAAATTGAATGAAAATTTGAATGATTAAATCAGAGAGAATATACATACCATATTGTGATATGCAACTAATATGGCCTCAAAACTCGAAAGCAACCCTCCTTTGAGACTCAACACTTCAATTGTATACTAACCTCATTGAGAGGAAATTTATAGGCGGAGATGTGCAAGTATTGACGTTCACGGAAGGAAGACAGTCACAAAAGATGATCCCGATTATCTTTCATGTATGCCTGGCGTAGAGCAGAGTTATAGGGTCCTTGTAGTTGAGAAAACAGAGACGCTGCACTGCTTGAACTTCATTGCAGGGTAAATAGCTCCAAAGAAAAAGGTCAATACGAACTGGAGAAAATGGAAAGACGTACCTCGATGGCTAGCGCACAACATGGAAACGATGGAAACGATGGGAGCAGCTGGTGAAGTTAGGGCGCAATCCAGACTCGAAGCACTGAGAGAAAATACGAATGGTCTATGTCACACGACAATGATAGACGGAGCAATCACACAGACGGAAGTAAAACGGGAATTTAAAATCCTTGGATAGGGTGCAGAGGATTAAGCGTGATGTACCATTCAATTAAGCTGGACATTACACCAACATTTTTTCTATCCCTTAAATGCCCTAATCTTCATTGGCAATTATAAGTTTGTAAGAAGAAACACTAGCATAAAATATAACAATTGGCTTAGAAGATGAATGGCAAAAGTTGGGAAATTAGATTTTAAAGTTAATGGAAAGTTAGGGATGCTTTCAGCTTGTAAGAATTGGATAAATTAAACCTTCAATCATACTGGTGCAACGTACAAGTTCACATTACATGTGGTTACATCAAAACATTATTCATACCTACATTAACATTACCCTCATTCCCTCTTATAATTTTGTAAAGAAAAGAAGTTTATAATAAATTGTAGTTTTCCTTGACATTATTTGTGGATATACTCATATCACACCTATTTCATGGTATGATTTTTATATTTAACTTTGAGCATTATTTGTTAATTTCCTACTACATCCGTTCTTAAATAAGTGCAACACGTTGAAATTTACTTTATTCACATTTCCTACATTGAATATGTTTTATTTATTAACAATCAATTTAAAAAATTGTTAAATTTGTCTCATTGTAAATTTTCAAAATTTTATTTTTAAATTGTTTTACTAATAGAGAGTTATATATATTAAAGGTTAAAGTTGTGCATTGACAAAAGTGAAATGTTGACCGTTGCAATTATTTAACCGTCATGTGTGCGCCATATCAGCGGGTGACCCGCTGACATGACAAGTAACCTGCAAATGTACTCAATTGAACATTTTTACAAAGTTCAGAGATTTCATCGATTTTTATAAGTATGAGAAGCTAATCGACTTTTTCATAGAAATACGAGGACCATGTTGACAGTTTTCCTCAATTTAAATAAAAATATCCTAAATGTATTGATTCCTTTGGCTTAATATTTAGATTTTTTTTGAAAGTAAATGTGGACAGCCCATCTTAGATCTTAAGTTTGGGCCATATAATTCGGCCCAATGGAAGCAAACCTAGCTCTCTCACCCGGCTCATCCACCTCACCATCCAGACCGTAAACGCCCAAACACAACTCAATCTCTCTCCCTCTCCTCGTCTCCATCTCAGGACGGACGCAGTGTCCTGCACGCCTTTCGTGTAACTTGAGGTTGGTTGTTTGATTACTATCTATTTCCTTATTTTTTCGAATCGTATATTTTTTTAAATTCTAAATTGCTTTCATTTTTATTAGCAGTAAATAGATCAAGCTTAGAGTTGTTGTCGAGGTTCGTTCTGCATCCTCTCTATCATTTTTCTGATTTTGTGTTTTTTTTTGTCGATTGTATAATCACTGCTTCGGTCCATTTCCCTTCCCGTTAAAGTCATGTACTTAAATTCATATCTGATATGGATTCGTGCTTATACTTTGGTCAACTTGTGCTTCCGCGATTTGTTTTTTTAACTGGTTACATTGTTCTGTTATTTGGTGCAATTTTCTGCCTTTTGATCTAGCTCTGTCCCTGCTATTCAGTATAGATGGGCAGAATGAGATCTTGCTAACTAGCATAAATGCAGTGTCTCCAAATGGGCACTGAGTGTCTAAGTGTCATTCGATTTAGAACCGTTTCTTCAGGCTTTCAGCTATACATCATGTATAGTTAGATTGAGTTTGATCTAGGATTATTACCAATTAAATATCAATGCCATTTTAGCTTTAATTTGTTGCCAGATAGGCAGATATACTAAATTTAAGCGGTTAAGCTTTGTTATGTATTAACTTGTGGGTGTTTGCTCTTGAAGGACATTTTCAGAAGTGATGGCGTCCAAGCTTCAGCAAATTTCATCAAAGGCATGCCAAGTTACACAGTATCTCACCAAGAATACTTCTTCCATCTACAAACAGACACTTGAAAGTAACAAGCAGTATATCGTGGAGCCACCTACTATGGAAAAGTGTGATGAGTTATCAAAGAAATTGTTTTATACTCGTCTTGCCAGGTTAGTCTTAGTAGTGTTATTACTTCCCATTTATTTGCTTCAACTGTATGTGGACGACTTATTTTGTTGAAACCTATAAATAGTTACTCAGTGTTCAAGATTCTATATATGATGTATTGAAATTTTAGAGCACATCTCAATGTTGTAGTGGTATTTTTTTCTTTTGACTGTTTGCAAACCACTGGCAATATGCCTTCTCTTCCTTTCAAGAACCCATTTGGTAGGCATTACTTTTATGCTTATCAGCCATCTGAAATGATCTGTAATTGATGAACAAGAGAATGAGCACACAAACCCCTGCTTATATGTCAGAGAACAAATTTACTCTTAAAGTTTCTGGGACATATAGATTTAAAAAATTAGAACGAGGGAACAAGTATGCCTTTATGTCCAATAGTTGAGGGTTAGATAGTTATGTAATACAGTATGTAGTATTATATCAAGGGTATTTTTGTTCCAACTTTATATTTTTTCAGTTTTTTTCCTGAAAAAATGAGAGGTATACATGTTCTCTAGCATATTTTCAAGGGTATATTTGTTTCTGATGTCATGATGAGTTCGATGCTTTTAGCTTTATGTTTAGATACACCATTTTACTTTCCTTGGTTGCTTTGAAATATCTATTTAGATTTTGTGGAGACAGTTGAGCAGAATCAGCTGTCATCCACTCAGCCACTTCAACATCTTAACCTTTATTGTACTGTCTCTCTCTATGCTACGTAGTACTCCCTCCGTCCCTCTATTATTGGGACGGAAGGAAGTGGTGTGATTTTTTAGAAAAGTAAATTTATATGGTTGATAATGAATTAATAAAGTGAGAGTAAAGCAAGAATGAATTAGAGGCTTAGAGCCACACAAAGGTTACCAAATATGGTATGAGACAATAATAGGGGGACATCCAAAAATGGAAAAGTGGGACAATGATAGGAGGACGAAGGGAGTATTAAATAGGGTCCAGAATTTTGTTTGAAATTAAAAGGGAAAACTGTCAATTTGGTCCTCGTACTTTCATGAAAAAGTCAATTAGGTTCTCGTACTTTAAATAAAATCAATCAAATCCCCGAACTTTGTAAAAACGTTCAATTGAGTCCATTTGCAGGTTACTTGCCATGTCAGTAAATCACCCGCTGATGTGGCGCACATGTGGCAGCCCAACCAGCAATAATTTTGCTTATGTGGCACACATGTGGAAGTCCAATCAGCATTTGCTAATGACGTGGCACACACGTGGACCGCCATGTGTGCGCCACGTTAGCGGGTGACCTGCTGCAAGCAACTTGCAAATTGACTCAATCGAGCGTTTTTACAAAGTTTTGGGATTTAATTGATCTTTTTAAAAGTACGAGGACCTAATTCAATTTTTTATGAAAGTATGAGGACCATATTGACAGTTTTCCCAAATTAAAACCGAAAGACATATTTCTGTATGGCAAGATTAAAATGTATTCCACTTCCTGCTTGCTAATAACAATGGCTAAACCTTAGCATCCCATATATCTTCAGTATTCCAGGTCGTTATGAGGCATTTTGGAAGGAGCTTGATGGTGTCAAGAATTTATGGAAGCAGCGGAAGGAATTGAAAGTTGAGGATGCTGGGATTGCTGCATTGTTTGGCATCGAGTGCTTTGCATGGTTTTGTGCCGGGGAGATTGTTGGAAGAGGCTTTACTTTCACTGGTTACTATGTCTGAAAAATTGACCTCTTTAGCCAAGAACGTAATAGCCAGAAATGAAAGTTTTCTAAATGATTGAGTGATGTAATAATCTCTACTATGCACTTCGTCTACACATCCATGGAGAGGCCCAGTGATATGAAGTTATGAACCATGCACCTTTTTTGTTCTCGTTTTCAATGATTTATGGCTACTGAAGTACAAAAAAAGTTACAGAGTACCATCTTGCTTGCAATTTTATTTGCCAAATGAGCAATAATGACATGTTTGGTGCACACGAATGAGGGAAAGCCAATCCTAACGCATAAATATTCTTCTGTAAAAAAATTAACGCAAAACTAATCCAAGTTAAACAATGACATGCTTGGTGCACAGAAATGTTGGTAAAGCATGACTGAGAAAAAAAATGAGCATTGGGTTTCTGTCTGAAAACAAGAGTAATTAGATATATTTAGTGAATTTAATCATAGCTAAAAATATACGGAGTATTAAGCTAATAATTCCTGTTCTAATCTTGTGATAGTTATATGCGTTTTTGGACTGTTTTGACTATATTGCTTTCTTTCCTAAGCTATTTTCATGTACTTGTACTTGTTTTCTTCTTGGATTACTGTTTATACTGTGATTAAGTTACAATATACTCTTTGCCAATAGTCTATAGTACTTGATTCAAATTAACAGTTAAAATATTCATATTTAGAAACCATATTAAATTTCCTATTGAATCACAAAATCAGAATTCATAGTTTCATACATGAAAATAATTCAATATACGAAATCATAACATCGAAAGAGTTTTGCTTATGCCTTCAATAATAAAAAGAACAAACTTTTATTCTATAATCTTACTGATATACGAGATTTAGAATTCTTGCTTATATTTCTTTTGTAGAATTTAAATTTTATTCTCTATTTATTACTTTTCCTGTACTAAAAAATACCCATAAATATGTATTCATTAGCCACAGCCCACAAGTATATGGCATAATTAAACATATCAAAGGAGTACATGTGACATGTATGTAACCGAAGGATCATGAAAAAGCCAGCTATGTATCAATATGTATATCTGCAGATTTATATGAACTTTAAACACATAGAACAACCTATAACCCCGTTCACCGCTCATTTCAGACGATAACATATAGTAATTCCATCACCCAGGGGGACATGAGAAATTTGAATACGATCATCAGAGGCCAGTAATGTGTTAAACTCAATTGCATAAAGGCGGGCAGGTTTCGCTCCCTCCGGAACAGAGTGTTCTGGCATTGCAACAGAGCCTCCCCGAAGTGTGTTATCATATACTATGATCCCACCAACCTTTATTAACCTCAAAAGCCTTTCATGATACTTGGGGCAATTCACTTTGTCAGCATCAACATAACCAAAGTCAAGGCTCTCTATGTTACTCTCCTGCAATTGGTTACATAAAACTAGCTGATGTCTTATGTGTAAATTTGTATCTTTATACTTTTATCAAGAAATAGAGACAAAGTATGACTAAAATAATCATAATGGATGGGAATATGACTTTTGAGTGCAGTAACTTTGATGGTATTTTCACTTTGTACTAAATCTAATGACTTTGCAGTCACAATTTGTCTAGAACTGTTATCAGTATGAATGGCTCAACGGGCAAAGCATCAGACTCGATAAAATTGATTTTGTGCTCAACTCCTGCTCTTTTGATGACAGGTAGTCCAATTTCATACGTTCCTCGGTTGTGATCAATAGCTATAATCTGCGCAGTTATGAAAACAAGGCGGTGTTATTAATGTATTGAGCAATGATAATTCGAAAAGACAAAACAGAAAACTGGAAACAAACAAAGCACTTGCCTTGCCATCATCAGGAATGGATAGAGCTGTGAGGAGCAAGGAGTATCCAGTGAAGACTCCAATTTCAATAGTCCTTTTGGCATTTATGATATTCAAAAGCATAGTTATCAATTGACCTGCATCTGGTGCTGTACCCATTAAAGCCCTGTGAAACAAAAACACAAAACAACAATGAAAAGATTAAGCTAATCAGATGGGCTACAACTATGAAAACAACTATCAATTATCCATTTTTTTTATAGTATCACCTTAGATGATTGGCAGTGATGGCTCTTAATTCCTTCAGAGGCTCCGGCTCGCGTGGATACACGCTTGTCTCAAGAAGATACTTAATCCATACAATATCCAAGGGATAAATAATAATAATTGCACATTATTATCAACAGAAATCGGACACTTACCAGACCATACCATACCAGTTTAGATCACACCAAACTAGACCAGACTTCAACAGAACAAACCAAACCAACAAATTTCAGTCTAAGTAAAAACATCTCTAGGACCAACAATATATTTAGCAAACATATTTTGTAGCTTGAAATGAAAAAATTATTTGATACAGAGTATATGTAAACATAACCGTGAGATCTTAATTTTTGAATCTAAGGATGTTTTTACTTATTTTAGATGAATTTTTTCAAAAAATACAAAATATATCTCTTACAATTTTGCTCAAAATATTTTAAAAAATATACCAAATTCCATTATTTTTTATAAGCTTTCATGTGACACTAATATTACATACATAAAGTTTAGAAAAACTGGAGACAATATGGGTGAAAAGAGTAGTTGCCACCTTGCTATGTCAATAAACGTAAATCTAAATCAATATTATTTTAACAAAAATAGGAAAATCTAATTAGTAAACTTAGGTTCAAAATTTTTCATAAATAAATTCAAGTTTAAAAATTAAGATCTGATATTTATTTTTACTTATTTTTTTAGACATGTTTTTCATCTTAAGCAAGATAAAAACTATATTTGGTGAAGCGCTAGATTGTGTGGAAAAACATGATTGAGTGGGTATTATTTTTCATTTAATCTAGGACGTTATAAAATATTTTATATTATTGATCGAGTGGGAAAAACATGATTGAGCTAAAAATATTTTTAGCTTGACAGATATAAACAAAACAGGCCAAAGCTGGCTTCCATAGCTATAAAATACACAAAAAGATCATATATTTGCTTGACCAGACCAGCAAATATAAAATTTATGTAAAAACATCCTTAGATTCAAAAATTAAGATCTCACGGTTATGTTTACATATACTCCGTATTAATAATTTTTTCATTTCAAGCTACAAAATATGTTTACTAAATATATTATTGGTCCTAGAGATGTTTTTACCTGGACTGAAATTTGTTGGTTTGGTTTGTTCTGTTGAAGTCTGGACTAGTTTGATGTGATCTAAACTGGTATGATAAGGAATGGTAAATGTCCGGTATCTGTATATTTTATAAGTATGGTCTATCTAGTCTAGTCTAATTTGTGACTGAAAACAGTCTAGTCTATGACTGTGTTTGGTAATCGGCATTTCCGCCAGAAATTAGAGGGTTTGACCATTTTGGCGGTTTCAAAGATCGAAAACGTTGTTTGTCGTGTGTTTGGTAAATGGAGGTTTGGCATGGCGTTTTGGATGTATCCGCCAAATACCAATACGCTGCAACTAGTAGCGTTTATACTTGGCGGTTTCAGATAATTATTTAATTGTCAAATTTGTCCTCTGATCTTCTTTTCCGTTTAATTTCCGCTGTAGGTGTTTAAGGCCTTCCCTCTTACTTCTTCTCTGGGTCGCCGGAAGTCCAGAGCTTTTTGAGTGTTCTAAAAATCATGCTATGGTTCTGGATTTGCATCTGATTGAGTTTTACACAACGAACCGGTTTAACTGTTTTGCGTGAGAAATTACATGCTACGGAGTATTAAAGTCGGTTAAGAATAAAAATAAGGCCTAAAGGATAAGAATTCACTGGAAATTAATACTACTCCGTAGTTTTCTTTTGGACCCAAAATGTGCTATTCATCAATTAGATATATATTTTTGTATTATTGTGTTTTTAATTTTGTCATATTTTAATCAATAATATAATAATAGTTCGAACTTATCAATTACGCATCATTATTAAAAAATGGGTATTAAAATTTATTAATGCATGTCTTCATATGTCTTTTTACCTAGTAACCACTAGGTCCAAACAGCTGATCTGCCAAACGTTATTCTGGATTCCGCCAAATGAATCCGCTAGTCAAATCCGCTAACAGAATCCGCTGTTAACAATCCGCTAACATAATCCGCTAACTGCTGACCGCTAACCGCCGATTACCAACACACCCTATAAGTAAAAACATTCTCGATTCTATGAAAAAGTACCCACTCGGTCATCTTTTAAGTCTGTACTTGTCTTAAAATCCGATCCAATCATTATTCGAACATATTTTTTAAACAAATATTGCTTCTTAAATTTATTCACCCTCATATGTGCTTCACATTTTTTTTTTAATTTATATATTCAATATTGATGTCATATGAAAGATTTTAAAAAGTTATGAAATTTGGTATATTTTTTTAAATAATTGGAGCAAAATTGTAAAAGATATAACACTTTAAACAAAAAAGGGGTTTTCTTCTTTACTTACATCCCACCCAACACCCCTCCTCTGCAACGACCGTTACTCCGTCCATAGTTTTGCGTGAGTCGCCCTTTCATTTTGCGACTCTGCCAACTATAATTAGTTTCCAGCAGTAGTTTCGTAAATTGTTTTAATCAAACCCTATTTTCATAAATACTTTATTTTTTAACATTAATGTGGAAAAAACTCGAATAAAGAGTATCGATTAATATTGAAGCCTTGAAGGTGTTAAAACGTGCGATGCCTTTGACAAATAAACAATAATATGTCACTGCTATCCACTTTTAATGAAATAACGGACACATACACATTTTTTGTCAAATCTTTCTAACATATTATAGTTTCTTTTCTGTTAAGACCAACATCTTTGAATTGAGATGATATTCGAACATGTGACTTTTTCTTTGAAAGTGTCACAGTGATGCTATTTGATCGGTACTTGGCCACTACTGTATGGGATGGACCATTGATAATTGATATGATCATATGAGGCATGTCATTCATGATTAACATCACAAAATAATTAATTAAAAGGGAAAATAACAATTTTTTAACAATTAGAAAAAGAAAGAATGACAAAGTCACAAAACACAAAAGTAATACTCCCTCCGTCCCGTAAAATAGTTTGCGGTTTCCTTTTTGGGCCGTCCCAAAAAATAGTTAAGAACCGCTTTTTGGGCGGTTCTTAACTATTTTAAGTGTCTATTTTTGGGCGGTTCTTAACTGTTTTTTGGGCGGTTCTTGGGTCGTCGGCAAAAGTATTACTTTAAGTGTATTACTCATCTTAAAGTAATTACTCAAAATAGTTTCCGGTTTCCTTTTTGGACCGTATCCGGTATAAGTGTATTACTCATCTTAAAGTAATTACTCATCTTATAAGTGTATTACATACTTAGTTAATATATATTAAAGTATTGAGTATAAGTGTATTACTCATCTTATAGTAATATACTTATATATTACATACTATAAACATTATATTATATATTAGTTATAATATATTTACATATTATATATACTATATATACTTATATACATTCATATATATTAAAGTATTACTTAGTTACATATCAAGTTAAAATTTACTTTAGTTAATATATACTTATATATATATTAAAGTATTAAGTATAAGTGTATTACTCATCTTATAGTAATATACTTATATATTACATACTATAAACATTATATTATATATTAGTTATAATATATTTACACATTATATATAGTATATATACTTATACACATTCATATATATTAAAGTATTACTTAGTTACATATCTATTACTATTAGTTAATTGGTAAATTTCTCATTTTCCTATTAGTTAATTGGTACATTTTTCAAAAAGTAAAAAAACTAGTTAATTGTTACATTTCTCTAGATTTCTCTTTAAAGTAAAAAAAGTAGTTAATTGTTACATTTTATATACTCATATTTTAGTTCGAATTCACTATTATTTTATTAGTCACATTTTATTTTTACTATTGTACTCATATAAAACATTTTATAGTTTTATTACTAGTCACACTATAATAGTTTGAATTTTTTTTGAAGGAAAAAGAGTAGTTAAATTACTTTTATTAGAGTACTTCACATTTTATTAAAGTAGTTTTCACTAAATTAAAGTAGTTGGAAATTTATTATTAAAGTAGTTCGAATTATTTTATATAAATAATTTAGTTTGAATTTTATTTCATTAAAGTAAACTTGTTAGACTGAAGTATCAATTAAAATAGTTTTAATAAGTTGCATTACTTTTAATAGTATTAATATATTTGTTCCAATTTAATATATTTGTACGTTACAGTTCGGTTGATATGGGCAACCTCCAACGCAACCGGAAGAACGAGATCCAGAGGGATAATCCTAATACACGCAAATTAAAGGTAAATGACATATCGGGTCTTCTTCTCAAAGTCGAGATGATTTTAAAACGGATTACCAACAGAGAGACGGGGGCGCGATGTCCGACGAGCAACTAAAACATGAATTTGAGCAACATAATAACCGCTTTTTACGACAAGAACAAACCCCGACGACCATTGACGAAGAAGAGCTGGAGGATGACGATGCGGACGAACTTCAACCGGAGACGGCCGAGGACGAGGGTGACGGCACCCACAACGACGAGCCCTCCTCTTCCCAACCCGGTAAGAAACAAAGTCAATCTTTACTTTTGAAAAATAATTTTGATAAGTGGAAGGACACGGAGACCGGGAAATGGTACCCAAGTTGCAATTTGTGCGACAAACAATATAGCTTGGGGATTTCCGACGGATACGGATCATTGAAAAGGCATTTTATGGGCAAACACACCGTGGAGTATGCAAAGTTAGGCGGCGGAACGGGGAAGAAAACTCAAATATCGAGGTTTGCGAATTCTCAATCTTTTGGTAATTTCTCATACAATGATGCACAAAATTTGATTGGTATGACTAACTTAATTTGTGAAAAAAATTTGCCTTATTTGTTTGCTGAAAGTCTTGTTTTAAGAGATTCTGCACAAGGTAGTTTAAATCCTCAATTTAGAGGTTATAGTCGCAAAACTGTTAAGAAAGAAATTACAAGGCTTTATGGTTTGGAAAAGGCAAGGTTACAAAATTTATTTGCAAACTTTGATGGACGTGTTACTATTTGTTCTGACATTTGGGAGGATACTTAACATAATTTACATTATTTGGGTCTGACTGCACATTATATTGAT